AGGAAGTTCTAGTAGAGGTCAGAAGATTGCTGGAGACCTAATTTTTCATTTATAATAAAAAAGGAAGCCTTGCCTTTTTCCTTGCAAAGATAGACTTTGAAGTGTTAGTAGGGAAACAAAGAAGGTATCCATCAAAGGCTCTCATGGCGTAGTTATACAAAGCTTCCCAGGACAGTATGGAAGCTGACAGAGCCTGTTAATGTGCAAGAGGAAATTAGCTGAACTTTTCTTGCAAAGCCCAGCAAGGCAGAAAGGCTGGGTCGCTGCTGCCTAATCTAGCATTAAAGAGCGCAGTTTCTTACTCCATCACAGATTTTCCGGGTAACTTTGAATGTGTCAAACTTAGCTTCAGTTCTGCACCTGGAAATGAAGATAAATACTCTCAACTTCCTTTACTGTGACATGAAAATAAACACATTAAACCAGAAGGCATTCAAATAGCTTGGCAATAAAGTACAAGTACTGCAGACAAATAGGAAATAACAAAGTACTGCCCCATTCAGTGAGGAGATGCCCTTTTTTTTTTTCAAATCCTTCTTGCCTGCTGGGATCCTGTAATGCCTCCATGATCTTCCCTCAAACAAAAGGGAGGTTCACAGGGCAGGGGAACCAGGGGAGGAAAAGCGCCTTATGCTTACGTATAAAAGACACTAAAGCATCACTGCTCTCAACACTCAAATTCAAGAGGTTATTTTGCTTAGACATTTAGCAGAAAGGCTCTTCTGCAAACAACTGAGAAGAGAGACCTCACTCAGCTGCCTTGGATTGACCCAAGGAGGCCTCATCTGTTTCCTCTCACTACACACAAAACCACTGAAGACCACCTGAATAACTTGGGCATCCACAAACTCAGGAGGCTGCCCCATCCCTGGGCAGTGGGAAGGACTCTGTGAGCTCCCTGGCACTGAGACTGATCAGCAGTACTTGAAGGGGAAAAACCTGCCCTGAATTTACCTCCAGAGGCAAACAGTGGGATATTTACACTGAGAGAACTTTGTGAGGACTCTTCTCATGTGGAAAAGGTTTTATTTACTATGCTTTAACAAGACAGGATTTGATTTACAACTAAGGGTGCATTTTCCAGAGAGCTTCAAAGGAAAAGAATAAATAAATAAAATAAAAAAGGTGCATGTATGTGGGATAAGAGACATCTACCATGGAAAATGTTGCCATTAAAAAAACCCTCCAGGTGATAGCACTGGAAAATATTACAAACAAAATAGTGGAGAGCTGTACAGGTTTTTTTAACAGTTGTATACAATAAAAAGATAAACAGACTGAAATGTGCTTTAATTAAAACAAACTGATAGCCCACCTGCAAAATAACAGCCAGGCTCAAATTGTTCCTGAGTGACCCCAGGGCAGGCATGGGCTACAGCCAAGCCTGTAAGTCACTCAAACACCCTGCCCAGCTCTTCCCAAGTTCTCACTCCCGGGAACGGCAGGACCAGCTAAAGAGCCCTTTGTTTCCATTCAAACATATGTAGGGGTGGAAAAGCTGTTCAAAACATTAAAGAGAAACAACTGAGGACTGTTACTGTTCCAAGAAACAAATTAAGAGCCAGAGTCTAAAATGCCCAGAGCGCTGGCAGTGCCAGATGAAGGCAGATGTCACTGGCAACACAGCATCGCTCAGCCCCTGGGAGGGGGACAACTGGTTCCATCAAACCTGAGGATTTAAAAATCACCATCTCCTTCAGATGTATTTTTGGCATTATACCTTTACTTCTGACACTGATAATATAGACACATTTTATAAAGAGAATAATAAATTAAAGTTTTCATAGCTAGCTCATTAAAAGGATGAAACACCTCCCAAATTCAGCTAATAGCTAGCGAGCCATCTTCCCTCTAAAACATTAACACTGGCAAGTAATATAAGCAGGTCAAATTAAAAGTTATGTCAAAGTTAGTGCATTGTAGGGTTTTGTGTCAAATAAGCTAATAAAAACCATAATCTGGTGTAAAATCAATTCAGATCTCAAACAACATATTAAACTTTCTAAAGAACTATAAATAAAAGCTTGTATTTTAGTCAAGTAAACTTTTACGTTCTCTTTCAGTTCTAGAACTTTTTTCTTCAGATTAAAAAATGTGTGTTACTGAAATACTTTGCATTTTTGCATTAATTAAACAACGCATAAGGAGAACTCAGTGCTTTCCTATTTCAAGCTAAGGTTTATTCAGGCATAATTCAGACTGCACCAGTAGACTTGGCTACAGTTTTCCTCAACATTTGCACAAAGGCTGGCTGGTGACACATACATTATGAAAAGAAAAGAAGAATAAGCAGATATCCATGTCAGATAAATACATTCTACTCCCTCAGACTGAACTTGCAGACAACTAAATCCTGTCTTCTCTCTCCAAACGCTTCCCACTCCTTTGGTTCTGCCACTGGAGAGAACACAACACTTCTTGCGACTTCAGCCCCTGATTGCATCCTACTATACCTCCACAAACCACATACATACTTTGCTCCTTCTAACATATTCTAACATATTCTTTAAGAAACAACTTCAGAGACAACCTGTTCCTAGATAATGTTTGTGACCTCTATGGCTCCCAAAACACTCCACTGTTCATTTGGGCCACCCAAAACCAAGATTCTGTCTGCCTCCAAGGAGGATGCTGTCCTTCACTACTTCCAATATATCTAAAATATATTCACCAGTCTTCAGTCTTTAACTTCCCGTTCTAAATTTCTCACAAATTGCTTCATGAAAGAGTTCTATAAGCAACACAATGGCAATGAACGCTTTGAACTGAGTAAATCTACTTAAGCACTGTATATAAATCTTGAAGTGTTACAAATACTGTATGTCCTTTGTACAGTACATTATATAGTGTGTTTCTCTTCACTGCATGCCATACTCTGCTGGCTTCTCCAGAAGATCAAAACCAACTGCAAGCTCATTACCCGGAATGTGCATCTTCATTCTTGCTAAAGCATCTTGTCACATGGGTGTCTTCTACACATGCTCTGGACCAAAGGCCCTGGGAACATCCCTGCTTCCTGTAGCACAATTCCATATTGCCAGCTCTAGGCTGGACACAAACATAACACACCAATAATGGTGATCATAATCTATGGAGGCTTGAACATATTTCAATTTCAAAGGTCATCAATATGCACCTCAGGTTCCCAAGTTTTTAATGAAAAGATAAGATTCCAGAAAAGGAACTTGTATTTCAAAGTTCATAATCCATAATTTATTTGGGGTTTGTTCTTTAAACTACACTAGACTTTAAATACTAAGAAAACCCAAACCAGAAAAAAACAAGGAAAAAAAAAGCCACGCTACCAAAGCAAAAAACACACCAACCAGCAGAACACAACAAGCAGCTGAACTCACTCTCCAAAAGGTAACAATTAAATTCTTATCTAATGGATTAAAAAATAAAAGTCAACACTAAGAAAACTGAGACACAGTCATTCACTTCAGTACTACTTCTTGATTCCCAGGCAGCACAGTAACAATGCAAATGAAGCAGGAGTATTTTGTGATACTGATATAGAAAGACAACAGCAGTATGACTCATACTCCACATGAAACAATAGCAGTAAAGTATCACATGCAATATTATCTCCACTTAACAAAAGAAGTTGGGAAAATAATTTAGGTATTTATGAAGTGTCAACCAGACCAGTACATCTCGCACATAAGTGAGACAGATGCTGAAGTACTTTAAAGAAGGTTGGAAAACAAGCAAACAACTTTCCATTTGTTGGCTAGAAAAGTTTAGCCCCCTTTGGTTACTGATGGCTGCTATACTGCAATGCACCTGATTGTCTCTTACAGCTGATAGTGCTTCGAATGTTTTATCATCACTACCAGGGGGGAAAAATGGGTCTGCATATTATGACTGAGCTATCATTCAGTAGTATCAAATAATGACTGTAAATGTATTACTTTTAAACTTTTACATGGGTATAAAAAAATACTGGTAATGCTTTTAAATCAACACTGTATTTATGGCAATGAGAGTTCTACTGTTGACACAGAAACTTTACATTAGAAAAGACCAGTGTAATAGTCAGGCCTTCCTTTTAATTCCATTATTCCTGCAAAACTATTTTTCTAGTCAGGCAAATGCAATGACCACAACACTACCAGAAAGCACTAGTTTTAGAATACTGAGTGTAGTTTCTGGAAATAAAAAAAAATAAATTTCAGTCTTAAAAGGGAAGCTAAGCTCAAACGGCTAAAAAAGTGAGAAGAGCAATCAAGAGAAAGCAACAAATCAAACAGAATACTGATGATACGCACATATCGCTTTAAAGTAGAAAATAAGTAAACACATAAGTAATTATTTGATAACAAACTCTAAATTCCAGCAACTGAAACACAACATAAAAGAATTATAAATATGTAAAACAAATAAATTTGCATGGTCATTACAACCCATGTAAGCTTTAAATATTTAAAAATACTTTAAATACTTTAAAATAAGTTCTACAAAACAAAATTAGGGATGACGTAGAGCAAGAAGTACTCACTTGCAATTCTGGCTTGTGTACAATCCCACCTCCAGCCACGTGATTTCGTGAATGATCTCTGAGCAAACTTCAGAATTTATCAAATGCCTTTCCCCCAAAACTAAAATGGGAGTGATACTGACCTTCCCATAAACATTAAAAGAAGGAAATCCAAGTATCTTGATGGAAAAACCTACTGGAATTTCAACCTGTTCTTTAATGCTGATACTGCAAGAGGCTTGGGGTTAATATTCATTTGTTTTTAAATGAGAAAAACAAAATAAATTTACACCACAAACAAGTAATCCCAAGCAAAGCACAGGAAAAGTACAACTTTATACGAGATAAAAACGTTGAGAAAAAAAAGAACTTCAGAGTTACTGATGGGAAGTACAGTGACATTTATAGCTCCTTGTAAATATCAATATTGTATATTTAGAGAGGAACAAATTTTACTTGAACTCCTACTTAATTCATCATATAAAGCCAACAGTGAAAAAGTTCCCTCCTAATCACTTACCTTTTCAAATTCTGAAACCAGGTTTAACTGGGAGAGTCGACTTGCTGAAAGTATATCTTTATTAAATTTATTTTTATTTTTTAAATGTGAAAGGATACGAGGAGTTCCTTCTGTCCTACACACCAGGTAGAGACATGCAGCAATTACATGGGTCATCTTCCTCCCCCGGGTTAGGTGTTTGCTCACAGCCATCTTGAAAAAATTAAAAGCTGTATCCAGACAATGTTGATTGAGTTGAAGCTGGTTTCCCAAGTGGTGAATTTGACGTTTCCCTAGAAAAATTAATAAGGAAACAAAACAAACAAACAAGAGGCTTAACAACTTAATGTGCTTTAGGGTTGTTTTGTTTGTTTGGGGTTTTTTTGTAAGGTGGATTTTTTTGAGATTTTTTTAAAGACAAAATTGAAGGGGCATATTTTGGATTTCATCTCTGTGTGAAATACAATAAGCTGTCAAGCTTCAGATACTATAGTCCTCAACTACTGAGGACAAATAAATGCCTCGTTTTAGACTGCTAGAATTGAAATACGTGCAATCAATGAGCCCTGGAAAACAAGGTTACAAACACCAGCCCCAGAAAGGATCTAGACAAAAGATGATGCCCCCTTCCCTTAACATCAATTGACAATTCGCACTGGTTAGCAGTACATCAGTATAGCTGAAAACAAGACCGAACTGAAAGCAGGAGCTCATGGCGTGCTTGACACTGACATGCAGAGGAAACATTTTGCTGCAGCTCTCCAAGAAGATATGAAGTCTGCAGTTCTTCTAGGCACAACCAAAGCCCACAAGGAAAGGAGATCTGCCTGCAGTTTGCCCGTTATCACCACTGATGGAAGGTACTTCCTCTGAAGCCTATCGCACCCAGGCCTTCATTTCAGGCTTGGCTGCCAGACTGCCGAGATTAGACTGTGGCTTCAAAAAAACAAATGTGCCTTCACCCTTAAATGAAACAATAAAAAGAGTGTGTTTTGGATGATTCATGGCAGGAAGTGGTACAGCTGCTGGGACAGATGCGGGAAATGAGGTCCAGTGCATCCTCACAGCTTCAGCAGAGTGCACCGAAAAGACAGCTTAAGAAAAAGCTGGGGGAAGTCATGAGGAAAACAGAGTGCTGGAGCTCGTCAGCATACGGGGTCAGATGGCACATCAAGAAAAATCCTTTAATTCAATGTGCTGGGCAGATGTTTCCAGTACGTGTATTTACAGGAAGCGTTCATCTGTTCCCTTCAGAGATGTCTTGAGTAGCTTTACTGAAGGACGCACAATACCTGCCCTGCACCTCAGCCACCACCACTCACAGAAAGTGATGGTGACCACACAATGCTTACCAGATCAACATTGGCACCTGCACAGACATCTTAATTTACGCAAATCCCTACATCATCATCACTAACACCACAGTAAAAATGCTTCACCTCTGAGCAGCTTTCTGCCAAAGATGCTGTTTCAATTCAGCTTTAATAAAAAGTGACTTCAGACATTCAGCCAGGGTCAGCAAGACTCCAGCCAAACAGAAGCTGCCACAAAGCAACAGCTTCCTCTTCCTGCCTATGTGGCAATTAGTGTCCTCATCAATGAGATCTCCTTTAAGGCACAGTGGTCAACCAGGTATAACACATTCGGATGAAGAAGTAACCACAGAGGAAGGATACATCACCTTCCACAGGAGGTGTACATACAATAAGCTACTTAAGAGGAATTCAAAGCCTGTTATGTGAATGGTTTTTCCACTGCTATCAACAGGTCCTGGGCTGGTACACACCAGCCTCAAATACAATTACCACACCTTCCCAAAACTAAGCTACTAACTAGCACTTGCCCTCCCCTGATTTTTATTTCACACTTGTCCTGGGTTGAGCAGTAGCAGTCATTTTAATCCTTCATGGTAGCTGGTGCAGTGCAGTGTTTTGACTTTCGGCTCGGGAACAGAGCTAATAACAAGGATGTTTTGGTTTGGCCAAGGACTTTGTGAGCCTCATGCTCTGCCAGGGAGGAGGGGAAGGCGGGAGGAAGCAGAGACAGGACACCTGACCCAAACTGACCAAAGAGGTATTCCATACCACAGCACGTCATGCCGAGGAGGTAACTGGGAGTTAGCCGGAAGGGCTGGGAGACTGCAGGGTTGGAGGAGGTATGGGTCGGAGCTTGGTCGGGCTTGGGGGGGGGGGGGGGGGGCAAGTTATCAGTTGGCTGGTGGTGAGATGATGTATTCTCTTCCCTTGTTATTTCCTTTATCATTGTTATTATTGGTGGTAGCAGCAGTGATTTGTGTTATACCTTAGTTACTAAACTGTTCTTATCTCAACCCGTGGGAGTTGCATTCTTTTCAATTCTCCTCTCTGTCCCGCCGGGAGTAGGGGGAGGGAAAGAAGGGGGGGAGTGAGTGAACAAGTTACCTGACTGGGTTTAAACCACCACAACACTCTACAACCTGTGCACTGAAGGGGGATCACAATTTTATGTCCCCGAGAAAGAATGGATTTGTACTCATCTGTGGGGAAAAAAAACATAAATGTACTTGGAATTGAGTATTACAACTCATTTCTGCAGTGGCAGCAAAGCAGCTTCCCTGATCAACCCCTCCCAAAACAAGTCCACTCTAGAGGCCAGCATGGATCAGCAAGGCTATGGAAATCTGCCTCTTCTTATCACCTGAGCTTTCTTTTTTATCTGGTTGCATTTGCCATGTGTGGCTGCTGAGATGAAGACACAAAGAACCATCATCTGTAGAGATTTTGGGCACTACATGCAGACATAAAACCATTGAAAAATAATAAAAAAAAAAAAGAGAGATAGACATGCCCATGGCTGTGAACCTCCCTCAGCTGCAGGGAGATCCAGACTGGAATCACTGCAGCAGCAACGGCACAGCATTCCCTTTAGGTAAGTTGTTGCAGTTCAGTGTCCTCAAAGTCACAAAGGCAGCTGGTAACAATTTCAGTGGCTTTAAGTGTCAGCTGAATTTTGCTTTTAAGTAAAACTTTTGTAAAATCATGAAGGCGACAGGGGCTGCAATGCCAAGGAAGAGCCACATTCACTCCTGAATGCTTCTTGTGCTAATGGTGGAATGGTGGTATGCAGGGCCCACCTGGCTCTGCAGGACCAGGATTGTGCAGGACACCAAGAAAGAAAAGGCAATGAGGAAGCCTCCCATGCCATGACAGCAGCTGATGTGGTCCAGGGCACACACCAGAGTACAGCCCATATGAATGGAGATGCAGAGCAAGAACAGGACAAGCAACCATGAGACTTCTCTCCCAGCACTCCCCTGGCCCATTCCTGTTACGAGGTAATCCTTCTCCCAGGAACACCACTCTCATTCAGGACTCCAAACCTCAGAAGGCACTTGAGAAACAAAGAACATACTAGAAGAAGGAGGGGTGAGCTCTCCATCCAGCATCAATATTCTTAAAATGCAATTACTTTAGGCGTAGCCAGTCATTGGGTACTTGTCCACTTAGTAAACGTATTTCTTTGATGGTCTTACTCTACCTCCAGCAGACCAGAGAAGGCTTTAATTCTGTGTGCTAGTACTCCCTCAAGCTGCTTTGTAGCATTATGTCAGTCATGCAGCTTGTGGAAAAATTAGACCACTGTTACACTGCCATTGATCCCCAAAATGAACAGCTTTACACAGGACAAGAAGTGCCTTAGAAATTATGTGCATCTTGATGACTAACTTGGGTTTGTCCTTATCTGTTACATGTGAAAAAGAAATGTACTGCTTATAGCATCATCTGAGATAAATATTTATATTCTGTAACCAGTCTCCCATTTACCAAAGATAGATCAAAAGCTTTGTTGCTCCCCAACACCCCTTGATTTAACACAAATGCAAAATTCTATTTTTCTGGTATCTTAGGCAACACAAAAAAAAACCTGGAAAAGTTAGTACCAGCAATCGTGCTTCTAGATTTTTCTGCAGGAATACAAAATACCATGTAGTCCCTTCACAGATTCAAGAAGCATCTCCATTCAAAAAAGTAACTCCAAGAAAAGACAGGTATCAGCTAAATGGCTCTTGCCCCAGTTCTGCAGTACAGTACCAAACTGCTGTACAGTGCCTTCATCACAGTCAGATAAGAGCCAAACTTAATTTTGTGACTTCCAATCTTTTCTGCTAATCTCACCAATGACATTTACAGAGATGAAAACTACATCTTCGTAATATTTTAACTATAAATACAGCAATTTAATCTGTTGATATCTTAAGAGCAGATGCTCATACCTAGAGAAACTGGGCATAAGAAAATAACTGATCAAAATAAAAATTCTCTATCCAACGTTCCAGACACTGTTGACAAAGATAAATATGAGTAGAGACCAAATACCTATTCATATTGCCAGTCCTCAACATGAAAAGCCCTCATGACTGTGCAGTCGTAGCCGCAAAACTTGCTAAGCATTCAGACACCTTCTTACATGAGTTACTGCTCCTCCAGTGATGTGGTCAGTGCAGGGAGGAGCTGTGGAGTAGCTGCAAGCACAGGGCTAGGAAGATGAGCAATTCGCTCCAGCAAATCTACAGTACTGCATTATGCCTATCAGCCCTTGAACATACTCCCACTGCTCCTCGCTAACTGGGTGGCATTTTATAACCTTCCATTTGCTGTTCATCTCCTGACAGCTTCTATCATTTGCTCAAGACTACCAGTGTGGCTTCAATTAGCCCTACTGGCTGGCTAATGCCCTTTATGCCAGTCTTACCATACGGTCCCAGTGGGCAGTGAGCTGGTCCAGCTATCTGCAAGGATACCTTCTGATCTCAGCCAAAACAGTGGGAATATCCAACATTACAATGCAATTTATTAGCAATCTGCTCAGCTCTGTATTCACCAGGTTACATTGCAGTGCTACAAACTCGAGCTAATTGAACTGCTCCAGTGGATAGAGAAGAACTGCCACACCTTTAAACCCTGCTGCACTCTGCATTATAAAACAAAACTCAAGACAACAGCTTCCTGACTTTCTCACCCATTTTATCCAGTAAAATGTTTAGTTTTTTAAAAAAAGTTTGAGTGGAACACTATTCTAAAAACTTGCAGCTATTATCTCAGTAAAGAAATACCATCCTACGGAACAGTCAGAAATAAGTATGTATTGTTTTCTAAACTGCTAGGCAAGAGTACAAGATATAAGACAAAATACACAGGGGTAAAAACAAGTCTCTTAGTAGGCACATCCTTTATTAGTAACTTGCAATAGGAGTTGCCTCTTTTGGGCCCTACAGGTTTTTTGACAGATCCTAGGATTCTTTTTTTAAACCAAA